TGTACGCTCCAGTTGTATCATGCTGCTGCTGATTTTTCTTTATCTCAATAGGCTTTTAAAGTGGTAACTTGCAAATTCCCTTATTCTTTTCCTTTTTTACTTTGTCTCCAAGGTTTGGTGATAAGCATTCATTACTGCAGTTTTTTCTGCACGTCCCAGAGATCAGTCAGCGTGTCTGGTACACAACATCTTTTTCCTTGGATTTTTGAAGTTCGAGTTTCTGTCAGTGGCACACTTTTGTGTCTTCAGCTTTGTGGCTATTGCTGCTCATGCTAATATGTGATTCAGACATGGCAGAAAGTTGGAACATCTGACTTTCTGCAAAAAGTGTAAAGGAGCATCAAGTCAGAATTCCACGTAGAGAAGATGATAAATATTTCCTCAATAAAGGTAAACTCCACCTAGCAAAATGTAATTAAACAAGATCATAAGATCCTGTAGGTATGATGCTGTCTCAGCTGCCTATGAGATATAAGAGAAGTGCCTTACTGTGCTGATATATATTATGATCAATTTTTAGTGGCAACCGTGTCTTTGGATACTCTGGAATTAGCATTTAATTATCAGTGACAGCTTTTTTCTTCTATATTTTAAGACTCAAACTACACATATAAACAATTTAGTAGCATTTGTTGGCTCTGATATACAGAAAATAAAAAATAAAAAAATCTTAATTTTCCAATTTGTAGCTGACTTTTCCAGACAGACAACCACAATGAATGTAACTGCAGCTTCAGTGTAATTTTCTAGATTACATTAAACGCAACCAAAATTCAGGAAGTCAAAGGTAAAGGTTTTGGTAAATATTCCTGTTACTGCTAGATGGATGTGTAAGTTTTAAGATCCTTGAAAAAATGTGTGAGAAAGATAGCAGTTGTTTATTCCTTATTACAACAGACGCTGCAATTAATGAGAGAATTTCAAAGTAGAACAGCTTTAATTGGTGCAGAAACACCCCAGCATTTCCTCCTGCCTGCATCTATCAGCCATACATGTGTGCACCAGTAGAACAGAATAATACCAATAACAATGGCCGCAGATACAGTGGCTATCTAAAAAGCTTGTACAGCGTTGCAGAGGGTAAATGGGAACTGGAGAGTCTGGTACAAATCGATAAAAGCCATCAAACACCTGAGGGGTCCCCCAATTTTCCCACAAACCACTCCACCCCCTGGGCAGGGGGGAAACAATGGCAGGGCATCAATACCTGCAATTGGGAGAAGGTGGGGCAGGAGACAACAAGCAAACCATACAAGTGGGTCACCTCTCCTCCAGACAGCAAATAGGCGAGCAATCATTTGCATCAATTCAGTCCAGTGGGAGATGGAGGACAGGATGGGGAAGGGTTGCCATTAGGAGTGCATTGGTATAGAAGGTGGACGCCAGGGAGGAAGAAGGGGTGTGGAGGTTTTTAAAGCAGGTAGAGTTGGAGACACAGGGGGATATAGGTGTTTTCAATTACCCACAAATTCAGAGCAATTTCCTCCTCTTTCTGACCACACCTCCCACTGCGAGGCTGATGGGAGTCCTGAACAAAGAGGCATAGAGATCGCAATTGTTTGACTGCGGGTTGGTGGGGAGGAGCAGGGGGAGGTCAGTTTTCATCCATCTGCCTTGTTCAACCTTTCTCTGTCACCTTGCAGCTTTTATTGGAGCCTTCTTTTTTTTTGCAATGGCCAGGAACTTCAAAGTGCATTTTAACTTCTGTGTAGATGTTGATAAGCCACTTCCTGAGAGCAAGAGATACGCATGCACACACTGCATTGTTCCATTCAGCAGAACAACAAGACCATGCGCTGTTTCTGCTTTTTTGCAAAGTGGTTAAATTTGCTCTGTGGTGATGCACGCCTCACTGATCATTGTCGTCTTTAGTTAAAAACTCCTCTGCAACTCTTGTCAACTTGTGTTCCTCTATCAGCAGAGAGGGCAGGTTTGTCATGTTTTGGATTAAATTATAAGAAACACTTTGTATGTGTGGTGTCCTAGAGCAGATATGTATTGACAAAAACACCTCAGTGGGGATGATAATGACAGAAATGGCACCATTGTGTTCATTAGAAGGAGGGAGGGTGTCAACCATGATAATAGCATCCACAAATACAGGCCCGTTTGGCCCTCATCAACTCATTCTTTGAGAAGAAACAAAACTCTGACACAAGTTTAGCTATGCTGTTAATTCTTTTTTCATAATGCTAATTAATTTACCATTTCTCAGGTACATCTAAATCAACCTTAAGGAGGACAAAAATAGTAAAATTCAACAGGAAGAGAGGATTAAAAGCTAAGAATAAAATAAAGCAGGACAATATATAAATCAGCTTAGAACACATGACAGGCAAGACTGGATGAACAACCAGACAACTGCTTTGGGATCCCAAAAGCCCCAGGTTCACTTGAGTTAGTTGTAATATGATTAATTGTACCTTTGTTTAGGAATTTGCAGGGACATGCTAGTTTTATTCCAGAACAAGAGGACAGTAAGGGTGCAATTATTGATCTGTCAGTTATTTTCTTTGTTTATAGATTAATCATTTAGTACACAAAATGTGTGCCTATCAAACTTCCACAAAGCCCAAGGTAACATATTCAAACAGCTTGTTTTATCCAACCAACAGTCCAAAAGACGAATAAGACGAATAATCCTAAGTACTTTAGTGAGCCCCTGAATGTTCCTCTAGCACCATGAGGTTGATATTTGTTGTTTTGAATGAAATGTCTTAACAACTGTTAGATGTATTCCCATGAAATTTGGTACGTCATCAGGTCAAACTTTTAATTTGTCCACGTCTACATTGATGCAAAACTAATGACATTCCCATCAGCCTCATCGGGACTTAGTGTTTACTGCTCACAGTGGTAACATTAGGCTATACCTTCTAAACATCAGCATGCTAGCATTGCCATTGGGAGCATATTAGCATGCTGATGTTTAGCATTTAGCTACAGCCTCACAGACCTGCTAGCTTAGCTGTAGACTCTTGGTCTTGTAGGAAAAATGCGAGTTACAGCATGCTTCCTGTTAATCTTGCACTTTCTTTTGCAGCGTGACTGTCTACACATCAGAAATGCCTCTACAGGAGAAAGGAAGTTTCCCCAGTTTGCAGATGTTGCAACATGAACATATGAGACCTGATAGGAGCCTCTATCAACCATGTCATTTCCCCTGTTCCCTGGCTCAGCAATGAGGAACAGCTAGGTAGCCATTTTACTACACACTCACTCTGACAGCGATTGAAGGTGTGTGTGTGTGTGTGTGTGTGTGTGTGTGTGTGTGTGTGTAGGGGGTGGGTTAGGATTCTTTCTGGATGGTTAGCCATATCTTCCCTCCCATGCACATTCACAATGTATGCTGCACCAGATGGCCTGAGAACACAGAGCAGCTAATGGTACCACTTGATCATGTCTTTGCTCCACTATAAATCAGTATATTAACAACGTGCATAAATGCCATACACAGAGCATTTGTTTGATCCCCATGTGACACATAAAGCCATTTCATAAAAGGAGAGGAAACACTTAAAGGACGATGTAGATTTAGCCATGCGTGCCAGTGTTAGTCCATGGGAGAGATCTTACAGGCATTATCCACAATTTAAATACATTTACTTGAATCTAATTAGACTGGCTCTTCATGTTTGCATTTACATATATTTTAGTTCATAGAGGGGTGAGATTACTGACGAACATGTGGGAAGAGTTAATTGGCCTGCATGTATGACTCAGTGCTCAAACAGCTTTTATTTTGAAGTTCATTGTAAACAAGTGGTTATGAGTTCAAATTCCACGTGAGCCTGCCACAGCTTCAATCACAATCACAAACACACACACACACTCATTTACTTATATATAAACAAGCACACACAATGGTAAATGAGAGGTAGTGTTTCTCTAGTAATACATTACTGCTCCCATGTGGTGACAGGTTGTATTCTGGAATCGGCCTTTTTCACAGCAGACATTTTCACTTGTCATAGGAGGAAAAGCGCAGGTGTTATTAATAACATTAATGATGGCTCTGTTTCAAGTGTCCCAGTACGACACTGCAGTGTGACAGTGAGCCAGAATGTACAATGCCAGAAAACTGAAAGTGAAGCAGCTAAATGGAATTCAGCCATAATTCATTTTATTATTTACACAAGTGTTTTTCCTACTGTGACATGTCAAAATTTGTTCTGTGGAAAATGTCTTTATTTTTGTTAGCAACTAGCCTTAGTAGCTAACATGCCATTTCTGTGTGTAGCTAACAGTAAGGAACAACCCAAATCATGTCGTTGATCTCACACAAGTGAAATAAAAAATAGATAAATAATGTGTTTTTTCTTGATTTCATTACCAGTGTTTATTTTTGCCCTCTCTGGTTGGTCTACCCCAAAACTTCATTAACACTGAAAGTAAGCTAACGTTAGCTGTCTTTTGAGCATTATTAAGCAATTCCTCTGTTGACTTCAGCTATGGCAACCTAAAATTACAATTTCCTGTTATGCTGTACTATGTTGTTTTCTGGTTTGCTTATTTTTTCACTAGTAAAAAAGAAGACGTTCGAAGATGAAGAAAGTTCAGTTTAAAGGCACAAACACACACGACCACACTGTAAACTACTTTAATTTAAGAAAGTAGTTCTAACAAAAACTGTTCTCAGGAGGGGCTGTGAATTAACCAGAGATGCGGACACTTGAAGTTGTTTTATTTTACATTTATGCTATTCCATTCACGCCCATTGTATTGTGGTGGAGGTAGAAATCTCAGAATTAATTGCCTTTTTATTATTACAGAAGATCAGCTTATTTGGTATTATGACAAAAAGCTAAACAATCCTTATGTTTAAAGCTCAGAAATGCAAGATAATATTAGAAATATGCTATCAGCTAAATACTCAAAACACAAACACAATGAATTAAATAAAACAGAAAAGCTTTTAATGTGGGTCACCATATTCCTGTGCATTTCTTATACATAAAAAAAACATTCTTATTATGTGCATGATGTTAATACCTCACTGAAAGCTATAACCCATCAACATCATATATTGCCGTTGATGTTTGCTCTTGTAGGTTTAGCTGTTTCTCAATCAGCCTGCAGGCCCTCTGTGCAGTTTATTGTGTTGGAATGGGGATGTGTGTCAGGACGGCCATGATTGTGCAAGTGAGGTTGGAGATCAGTGTCAGTTTCCAGCAAGGGCTCTATATTTAGCTGACAAGTGCACGGGGTGACCCAGTCTGACTGCAACTCATAGTGTACACACTCCTCTGGACCCCAACACTCTTTCACCTGCTGGTTGTTTCTTTTTTAACGGTGAATGGTGTGCCTTGGTACCACTTGTGTTTATCATTAAAGAGGCGGTGAGTTAGAAATACTTTACTTTTGGCAGTGTGCGTGTTTATTCCCCTCTAATTGTATGTTGTTGTTTTTTTGAAATTCCACATTAACAGCATCCTCACACCACCATGACTGACTGATGTGACGTAGAGTATGACTATGCTGCTCGGCAAGGGAGCTGTCATCTGTGGCCAACTGAGAATACAGCTTGGTGATTAGTGAAGTGGCATAGGCGACTATGTGCCAGTCGGAGGTGCCAAAGGTCAGAATAGGCCTTAACAGTCCTGACCCGCTGGTGAGAGAGGCTTTTCTTATGGCCCATGACTACATAGACTATATAACCACAGGGGGGGCAGATGGCACCATGGGTCCTGCCACTACAGCCTGCACTGCAGCCCTGCGCCACGCGGGAGACGAACTCCTCACCCGCTTCCCCATATTCTTTAGGCGCTGGCCTCGCGTCTTCCAGGATGTGACGGAGAACACGGCCTGCTCCATGCTCACAAGCATCCTGGATGAGCACTTCTTTCCCCCTGCCCCTGGGGGGCGGCGCAGGGACCTGGCCTGGAGTGCGGTGCTGTCAGTGTACGTGCTGGCTGGCCAGATGGCCCTGCATTGCCATGAGAGGGGTATGGTGGTGGTCCTGCCACAGCTGAAGGAGTGTGTGGGGGCCTACGTGGAGAGGGTCATCTGCCCTGAGATACGAGACAAGGGAGGATGGGTAAATGTTCACACATGAAGATCAACAGAGAAGAGAAAACAAGCTGATTCTGCCTTACCATCCACCTACCCACAAAGTAGGTGGATGGTAAGGCAGAATCAGAAGAAGGTGGACGTCATGTGCAAGCAAAATAGAATAGAATAGAACTTTATTGTCCAGCCGAGGCTGCAAAATCATCTTTGGTCTCACCAGAACTATAAAAACATCATTAAATAAACATACATAGACATATAGATGTCAGTGTGGCACATCTCCACACATCACATCACTACAGTTAGTACCTGATACCCACAATATAGTTTTTGTACAGAAAAGTGCAAATTTGTGCAGTTTGTTCATTACAAATACATCATAGATTTTTAAGTAACTAACTTAAACCCCTGCTCGATCATGTGCCACTTCCCTTTGGGGACTGCAGTGATTTAGTATTACACTTCCATAAACATCAGGGACACATAAGAGACAGATTTAAAAAATAATCATTTTGACTGAAAAGCTCCAAATACACTTGATCCTATGCTTACCCTTGATGCAGCTCGACACTGTCTTTCATAGAGCCTGTTAAAAACCCACTTCTTTCCAACGTGGCCCTAGTTTTAACACAAACTAGTTAAAGATTAGCTTTCTGCATGCCCACACAGATAATACTAAAGTAATTTCGCTTTGGTCATTTTCTCAGAATGGACCACCAGAGTCTCAGAGGACATGATACAACTGCTTACAATTACAGGCTGTATAGTACTTAGATTACATCAACATCGGTTTTCAAACAATACGCCATAAAAAAAATGTGACTAAGAACCCAAGTTGTGTCCACATTGAACTGTATTTTCATAGGATACTAAAATTCCCTCCTGTGATTTCAAGGGAAAAAACCCAAACACTATTTAGAAATAACAATTCAAACTCCACTACCCCAGTGGTTCTCTAACTTTTTCACGTCAAGGACCCCTAAACTGACAAATTAAACCGTGGACCTCCATTTGATAAGATTTTGTCCCAGGGTCCCCCACCTTATAGGATGTTTGCTTTTAGATGTTTTATTACAAGAAAATGTATGAAACCCATGACCAAAATAGTCAGACATTCTGACACATTATGGGTGGAATTAAATTCTTAAAGAATAAATAAATATAAATAAATATACCATGCTTTCTTTTGAATTACAATTTCATCTTTTTGCCTGGGACCCCCTCTAACTCGCTAGGGGTGCCCTGGAACCCACTTTGAGAACAAAATAGCCTACTGTCTGTCTTTTCTAAATGAAATACACTCTCTTACTGCATTGAGGATCCCCAAATACTGTGTAATTGTGTGATGTATCCTGTATAGAGCTCCCTATTGAAATGAAATGTGTAATTGAATTTGAAATGTCTACTTATTTGTTTCTGACAGTGTGGTTTTGTGGCACGCTTTGGAGAGAAGCAGGGCTTGGAGGTCCAGGTGAAGAGAGTGTGCTGTTGGACACTGCTGGCATTGGCCATCAGCAGCCTCACCTACTTCCTCTGGAAAAGAATGACTTAGCCAACACTGCCACCTAGTGACCACAACCAGAAGGTCCTCCAGAGTGAGCTACCACATGAAAATGTCGGCAGAGGGATTCTAGTCAATGTTTTAATCCTGTAGAAACCTCAGTCAGTAAATAACCCGTACACAGTAATTCACATCATTCAGTGTTTATATAATGTTCTGGAGAGAACAGATGTTCAGAGTTCTGGTATCAGGTGTTGTATGGAGAATTTAAGCCATTCCCATAGGCACATGCTGGAAAAACTGAGCTAGCAATGTTGGTGTAGCAGGATGCGAACTTTGAGCAGGCATTGTAAATTAGTCTGCTCTGAGTTCCATGTTGGGTGTGCATGAATTGACAATTACAGAACCAACTGATTAGACTAAAATGCCCCGTGTGGTTTATTGATGCTGCAATTAAAGGCCCTCAAGATCTTGCAAGCGTTATTGTATTTTGGCCAAGTGTTTTATTCACAGTATAATAACAGCCTTTAAAAATTCCATCATCTGTGGCAAACTTCTAGTTAAGCAGCTTACACTTTATGTACAGTGTAGTGCATCGGCAAAACACAATTACGTCAGGTAGAATATATTGATTAAACCAGGGAGGCAAATATGCACAAGAACTTTTATTAACATGAACAGCAGACAGAACACTGAAAACTGGAAGAGACTTTGAACGTTACATTTCACGGCAAAGATTTTGACAGTAGAGCTTAGTAAAAAGAATGTATGTTTAGGCCAGCTCCTCCTCACCCTCCTCCTCAAACTCTCCCTCCTCCTCAGCAGTGGCGTCCTGGTACTGCTGGTACTCAGACACCAGGTCATTCATGTTGCTCTCTGCCTCGGTGAACTCCATCTCATCCATACCCTCTCCGGTGTACCAATGGAGGAAAGCTTTGCGCCTGAACATAGCTGTGAACTGCTCAGAGATGCGCTTGAACAGCTCCTGAATGGCAGTGCTGTTGCCAATGAAGGTGGCAGCCATCTTGAGGCCACGGGGAGGAATGTCGCAGACGGCTGTCTTGACGTTGTTGGGGATCCATTCAACAAAGTAGCTGCTGTTCTTGTTCTGTACATTTAGCATCTGTTCATCCACCTCCTTCATGGACATGCGGCCACGGAAGATGGCAGCCACTGTCAGGTAACGGCCGTGACGTGGGTCACAGGCAGCCATCATGTTCTTGGCGTCGAACATCTGCTGAGTGAGCTCTGGCACAGTGAGTGATCTGTACTGCTGGCTACCTCTGCTCGTCAGGGGAGCAAAGCCTGGCATGAAGAAGTGCAGACGGGGGAATGGCACCATGTTTACAGCCAGCTTCCGCAGGTCAGCGTTGAGCTGTCCAGGGAACCTGAGGCAGGTGGTGACACCGCTCATGGTGGCTGAGACCAAGTGGTTGAGGTCACCGTATGAGGGGGTTGTGAGTTTGAGGGTGCGGAAACAGATATCATACAGTGCCTCATTGTCGATGCAATATGTCTCGTCTGTGTTTTCTACAAGCTGGTGGACCGATAGTGTGGCATTGTAGGGCTCAACAACTGTGTCAGATACTTTTGGGGAAGGCACCACGCTGAATGTGTTCATGATGCGGTCGGGGTACTCTTCACGGATCTTGCTGATGAGCAGGGTGCCCATACCAGAGCCTGTGCCACCACCCAGGGAGTGTGTGAGCTGGAAGCCCTGCAGACAGTCACAGCTCTCTGCCTCCTTCCTCACCACATCAAGGACAGAGTCCACCAGCTCTGCACCCTCTGTGTAGTGACCCTTGGCCCAGTTGTTGCCAGCACCACTCTGGCCTGTAAGACAAGAATCAAGATTTATCTCAAAGCACTCAGTTCATGCAAAGTACCAGCTACTCAGAGGACTGACATTTTTAAATATAAATGTTTTCATATATACCAAAAACAAAGTTGTCTGGTCTGAAGATCTGGCCGAAAGGTCCGGACCTCACAGAGTCCATGGTGCCTGGCTCCAGGTCAACCAGCACAGCACGGGGTACATATTTACCACCTACAGAGGAGAAATTAGGTGAGGAAAATCTAAACTGTCTTAGTGGATTGTGCAATTTGAATGAGTCTTTTAGACTTACCTGAAGCTTCATTATAGTAGACATTGATCCTGTCCAGCTGCAGGTCACTGTCACCATGGTATGTACCGGTTGGGTCAATGCCATGCTCATCACTGATCACCTCCCAAAACTGTAAGAAATTTTAAATGTGCAATCCTTGTTAACTCTTAACAAATGTGACAAATAAACTTTATGACAAAACATGCATCCATTAATAAGTCAGTTTTCTTTACCATTTATTGAATAGTTTAATAAAATTTTATTTAACAAGCCTGTGTATTACCTGTTTAAACTTCCCGCCGTGCCCTTTTCGGCGCGCGCGCCCTGACCCCCTATTGGCTGCCTCATGGTTTATGAATTTGAAAAATCCTAGCTACGTCACTAACCGCCAATACCGCCTACTTCAGGCAAAAGCCGGCCGCAGCGACGTTCAAGTAGTCGTGCCAAGTAGGCCTCATGAGAGGAGAAGCGTTCCAAAATGATAACGTTATATTAATCGAGAGGGGAAAAAATGGCGCAGCTAACGTTACACGCATTTTTTTATCCGTCATCCCACGTTTAAGAGTTAATTGTACCTTCTAGCCTCCCGTTTTAATCGCCACCTCCCTTTTTCGCATTGCAGTATGTTAACGTTTACGGAACTAATGGTGATGTTCAGCTAGTTCCTAAACGTATATCCAGTCTGTGTCGTTTGAACAGATATCTAACGGCTTTTAAGATGGTTACCACAATAAACAGCTAGAATGATTTCGATGGATTAACATGCCAAAAGTGTTTTTATTCGTTTTAACTTCGACGCATTACGATACTAAACACGTTCCTTAAGAATGATTCAGTTTATAATAACCGTTAAACGACAGTTTTTATAAATAAGACCCATTGATACTCCCAGGGTGTGGCTTCTGGGACGCGCAGAGGCACAAAGCACCGGCTCCTACAGCAGATAACACTGTATTTCTGAATGAAATTACTCGATTTATTACTCAGAAAAGCAAAGAGTTCTACTAACCTTGGCACCAATCTGGTTTCCGCACTGGCCGGCTTGAAGATGCACAATTTCCCTCATTTTCTATCTGGAGGTAGACTAGACCTTTCGATGAATGACTTTGCCTTTCTATATGTGCGTGTGCAACGGCTCAACTCCGTTCTTTATAGTCCACTTGGAACCGCCCTCTACGCCACAGCTCAAATGCCTATTGGCTGATTCGCACAAGCATTCTTTACGGGCACACATTTACTCCAATCAAATGTTGAAATGCTTCTCCACCATTGGTCTAATCTGCCTGCCAATCACGTTCATCTCAAACGTGTGACTAACGTGTAATCTGTAGACGTTGGCCTACTTCCCTCATCATGGCGGAATAGAAATGCGACACTGACAACAGAAGATGTTCTGCTTTTCACAGCCTCACGTTAGCGTCCCCTAAAGACAGTGCCACGTTTTATTTCGTCGATCAAAGTAAAATATTTTGACTTGGATCAATTGTAAGACAGGAATCCTATTTGAGTGCTACTTAGCCACAGTCCACGTGGCTGAATAACACAATGGTCCAGTTTAGCCGCAGTTTCACTAGCGGAAACTGTCGCAACAGTACTGGGCATGACTATCGTGTAGCTACAACAGTGATTTTCTGTCATGTGCCTCTCAGGTCAGGGAGTGTACAGCTTTTCATTCCAGCTAACGTTAAGCACAACAGCAGCCATTAGTTCCCCTTTGGTTCAGTTTGTGGCAATAACTGAGCTACATTTTGTTTGATAATGAAAAGCAGCATTTGTGCCATTGATTGTGCATGATTGAAACAATTAGGTAATAACACCACATTTACAGAAACTGTCTTAATATATACAAATCTGTGTAGAGTTTAATCAAAGTAAAGAAAATAATAGTCACACCGGGAAACATTTATAATGTAAGTGTGAATGCAGTGAACAGTAGGCGGAGGCCTGTAAGATTATCAAGGAGGGAGTGAACTAACAACAGCCCTGCTGTGCCATGACATAGGCCTAATGGTAATGATCATGTGTGATGGTGCCAATGCAGTGAAGAATAAAGAATCAGTATGGAAATTCTGTATAAGATGTACATTACACCGAGTCCATTTCTGGTAGTGTTTTCCTCCTGTCTGAATGTCGGACTCAGCATTTATTCATCCCACTCAGAGCATCTGGCAGATTCATGGTTGATTCTGAGGATAATGTATGAATAAAAATACTAGATTTCTGCATCAGTGTAAGGTTTAAACATAATGTAAAGAAGCTGGCTCAGACACAGGATGTCTGGAGAAAAGAATCGTCTGTACACGTGTATATGCTGTATTGTATGCTGGAAAGCAGAGTTGTGGAATGAGTGCAAATGAGTTTATTAATAGTTAATCTGAATGCCAGGCGAGAATGTGACTATGACGACAGTGCTCCTGCAGTTGCCACGGCCATGTCTCTAACGACTGAGGGGGTTGGGGGGCATCATTCCCAGGTGGTTGTCGCCATGGCGATTAGGCTTTCCCACTGGGCGTTGTGGACTTCTGTGCATTAGTACAGGGCGTTAAGCTTTCCATGGACATACCCAGCCTTCAGCACAGCATCTATGCATACCATACATGTTTATGTAGATTAGTACTTGTGCAGACTACTAAAGGCTTTCTGAGGGTGTATGAATAGTAGTGTGTCTCATTAAATCCAAACAGTGTTTTTACAGGAACACCACTGCTATCCTTATCACATACAGTATGTAGGTCACACTCATAGTCTCTACTGTGTGTGCATTATAATCTGACACACAAAGGCCTCCTCTGTCACAGAGAGGATGAATCATCTCTTCATTGGGCTTTGTTTTCAGGTGTACATGGTGAAATTGTAGTGCAAAATTTGACATGCAGATATTTGGGCAAACTGATCCACTGTATCCAGGGTGATCAGTAATCTCATGCCTCTGGACTATTTAGCAAAACTGGAAGCTGACAAGTTGTTTGTTAACAGTCTCTGGTTAAACCCTGCAACAGCTGATGTTTAATTTTCAGACGTAGCAGTAGGGCCGGGCAGTAAAACAATAATGATAATTATAGCAATATAATTTTCCTCAATAACAATATAATAAATGTTCAATATATTGTCAATAAATATTTGGTTTGGGGCGGCAGTAGCCCAGTCCGTAAGGATTAGGCTGGGAACCGGAGGGTTGCCGGTTCGAATCCAGCTTGGACCAGATTTGTGGACTGGTAGCTGGAGAGGTGCCAGTTCACCTCCTGGGCACTGCCGAAGGATGCCTTGAGCTCTTGAACCCGTAACTGCTCGGGGTGCAGTACTGACTGGCAGCCTCCACACTCTGACATCTCTCTGTGTGTTGCTATGGGTCGTGTTTGTACATGTGC